AATATCCTCTTCCAAGGATTGATGATTTGATGGATCAGTTGGTGGGAGCTCATGTGTTCAGTAAGATTGACTTGAGGTCGGGTTACCATCAGATCAGAGTGAAAGAAGGTGATATTCAGAAGACAATGTTTAGAACTCGATACGGACATTATGAGTATGCGGTAATGCCTTTTGGAGTGTCGAATGCGTCGGGAGTGTTCATGGAGTATATGAACCGAATTTTCCATTCTTATTTGGATCAATTCGTTGTTGCGTCCATTGACGATATACTGATTTATTCGAAGTCTGAGGAAGAGCATGCAAGACATTTGAGAATTGCTTTGCAAGTGTTGAAGGATAATAAGCTGTTTGTGAAACTGTCCAAGTGCGAGTTTTGGTTGAAGAAGGTGATTTTCTTAGGGCATGTGATTTCTGGTGATGGTATATCGGTAGATCCGTCAAAGGTGAGTGCAGTGTTGCAATGGGAACCACCGAAGACAGCGACGGTGGTTAGAAGCTTTTTGGGTTTAGTAGGGTACTATCGAAGGTTTATTAAAGGTTTTTCGACTTTGGCGTTGTCGTTGACTCAGTTGACAAGGAAGAATCAAGCTTTTGTGTGGGATGCCGCTTGTGAAGAGAGTTTTGTGGAATTGAAGAAGAGATTAACTACGACACCGGTGTTAGTGTTACCAACTCCTAGTGAACCGTTTGTGGTGTATTGTGATGCGTCGAAGATAGGTTTAGGCGGAGTTCTTATGCAGAATGGTAAAGTAGTGGCATATGCTTCGCGACAACTGAGGGTGCATGAGCGGAATTACCCTACTCATGATCTTGAGTTGGCTGCAGTGGTTTTTCTGTTGAAGATCTGGAGACATTATTTGTATGGTTCGAGGTTTGAGGTGTCCAACGATCATAAAAGTCTGAAGTATCTATTTGATCAAAAAGAGCTGAATATGAGGCAGAGGAGATGGTTAGAATTCTTGAAGGATTATGATTTTAGCCTAAGTTATCACCAGGGAAAGGCTAATATGGTAGCCGATGCTTTGAGAAGGAAGGCGATTCATATGTCGGCTATGATGGTGCAAGAGATGGAGCTTATTGAGCAGTTCAGAGATTTGAGCATGGTTTATGAAATTTCGGCAGATTGAATGATGTTGGGCAAGTTGCAAGTGAACAATGATTTCTTGGGTATGATCAGAGAAGGTCAGAAGCTTGATGTGATGCTAGTGGATGTGATGTTTGGAGTGGGAAGAGACTCCGATAGTGATTTCAAGTTGGATGGTTCAGGTGTGTTGAGGTTCCGAGGTAGGATTTGTGTGTCGGATAATGATGAGTTGAAGAAGTCGATTCTGAGTGAAGGACATCGTAGTAGTTTGAGTATTCATCCAGGAGCTACGAAGATGTATCATGATTTAAGGAAGATGTTTTGGTGGTCAGGTATGAAGAGGGATATAACTCAGTTTGTTTATGCCTGTTTGACGTGTCAGAAATCGAAGGTGGAGCACCAGAAGCCTAGTTGATTGATGCAACCATTAGAGATTCCAGTTTGGAAGTGGGAATGTATCTCCATGGATTTTGTTACAGGATTTCCGAACACGGCAAGAGGATTTGATGCCATTTGGGTAATTGTGGATCGGCTTACGAAGTCTGCACATTTTGTGCCAGTTAATATAAGTTTTCCGTTGGAGAAGCTGGCAGAGATTTATGTTCGAGTGATTGTGAAGCTGCATGGTGTGCCGGCGAGTATTGTGTCGGATAGAGATCCGAGGTTTACATCAGAATTTTGGAAGAGTTTGCAGGAAGCTTTGGGTACTAAGTTGAAGCTGAGTTCAGCCTATCATCCACAAACTGATGGTCAGTCGGAGAGGACATTCATACGTTGGAAGGTTTGTTGCGGGCTTGTGTGTTAGAAAAATATGGTGCGTGGGATACTCATTTGCCATTGATTGAGTTCACGTACAACAACAATTACCATTCCAGTATCGGGATGACACCGTTTGAGGCTCTTTATGGTAGAAGGTGCAGAACCCCTATGTGTTGGTATGAGACAGGTGAGAATGTGGTGTTGGGACCAGAGATTGTGCAGCAGACTACTGAGACAGTTCAGATGATCCGTGAGAAGATGAAAGCATCTCAGGATAGGCAGAAGAGTTATCACGATAACCGGAGGAAAGAGTTGGAATTCAGTGAAGGTGATCACGTGTTCCTGAGGGTTAACCCAGTGACTGGTGTAGGTCGTGCGTTGAAGTCCAAGAAGCTGGATCCGAAGTTTATTGGGCCTTATCAGATTTTGCAGAGAGTTGGTGTTGTGGCTTATAGGGTGGCGTTGCCGCCCGAGCTTTCGAATTTGCATGACGTGTTCCATGTGTCGCAACTTCGGAAGTATGTCGTGGATCCGTCTCATGTGATTCAGAGAGATGAAGTGCAAGTTCGAGAGAATCTCACTGTTGAGACAATGCCGTTGAGGATCGAGGACCGTAAGATGAAGCGACTCAAAGGGAAAGAGATACCTTTGGTGAGAGTGGTTTGGGGAGGTGCTGCAGGAGGCAGTGTGACCTGGGAGTTGGAAAGCAGGATGCGTATCCAGAATTGTTTCCATCAGGTATTTTTGAGGACGAAAATAATTAAAATGAGGGAGAGTTGTAACACCCATTTTAATTATCTCATTTTTCCATGTTATTTTATTTTTTCGGCGTGTATTTGTGGGGGTGTTTGAGTGCGATTGTGGTCTGTGCTTGGTTTGTGGCGAGTCGTAGGGATGCTCTGATACGTAACATCGGGGCTTTGGGGAGTTTTATGTTTATTTGGTGATTTTGTGTGCCCCTGTGGCGTATCGTGCTTGTTGAATCTTTTTGGTGAACATATCTTGTATATTTTGGACAGTTGGCCGAGCACGATGTATATGATGTTTATATGTATATATATGATGAAAAATTTCCGCTGTGTTATATTTGTTGAAAATTATTTAGTGAAAATGTTTTGTGTTGAGTTTATTTCTGTGACATCCCGTTTTGGTATGAATACTCTAATAATTATTTATTTTTACCTGCATTTATGTTATTTTGGGGAACGGGGTGTTACAATGTCCATCTTATTAACCCCATTTTATTTTGATGTTGTTTATAAAAAACATGTTGTTTTAAAAGGAGAACAAATGAGAGTACAAGCAAGTTGTGCAACTTGTGTCAAAACAACTCGAGGATAAAAAGTGTGTTCATCCAATTCATTCCTTTTTAATTCATGTTTGTAAAAGGAAAAAAAAATTTTAAAAGGAAGACAAGTGTTACTACAAGCAAGTTGTGCAAGTTGTGTCTGAATAACTTGAGGACGAATAGGATGTTCATCAAATCAATTACTTTTTAATTTATATATGTAAAACGAAGAAATTAAAAAAAAAATGTGTTAGGACAAACAAGTTGTGCAACTTGTGTACACTAAAAGAATGTTCATCTGATTAATATCTTTTTAGTCCAAATTTATTTATAAAAAGGTGAGATTTAAAACAATTAAGTGACATTTGCGTCTTAAAAGCTCATGTGCATCTATTTAACAATTTTTTCAAAGTGATTTTACTTTTATTTTTTTTATTCAAATAAAGGCATTAGAATCAATGGAATTGAAGGTGATAATGGTTGGTTAAATCGATGAGCGCCACAAAAATCAGGATAAATTATGGCCATAATATAAGATTACGAGTTGGCCATAATTTGGACGGTCACAAAAAAGAATAAAAGGCAGCCCGTAATATTTTTTTGTCTCAATAGTATGACCAAAATCATCCTGAAACAGTATTAAAACATAAGGGTCTTGCTAACGAGTGCCCTCAAGGCATTATTTAAACATTCCATATTAAGAAATTATTTTTTAAAAAATTCAAACACTTTAATTTCCAATGTACATTATTACACATCATTGCACATACTTTTATAAAAACTTACTATTTAAAATTTTAAAAAGTGTTTGAGACCACTAGTTAGCATTTTCCATAACATAATATTGACTGTAAAGTATTTTTATTGTTGTTCTATGTGTCCTGAACTCTAGTTCTGATAGTTTCACTACAAGAAAGTTTTCATATGCCGACAGCCACTTTGAAGGATTTACTGGACAATAGTTTACTGTCACAAACTATATTTTATTTTATATTATTATTAATTATTATATTTTATTAAAATATATTTTTTAAAACAAAAAAGACTCAAACTTTGGTAAAGTTATCGTTTGATTTTTTTAGCTTTTAGTTATCAGTCTCCTTCTTGTAAGTGGCTGTGGATTGAGGAGAGATCTTACTCTCAAAACTTCAACCAAAATGTTAAAACCTCTCAAATCGTAGATCCTACTCTCAATCTTCGATCTATTTCAAACAAATTTCAAAATTGTTCTCATTCTAATCTCCGAAAATTTCAAAATTGTTCTCATTCTAATCTCCGAAAATTTCAAAATTGTTCTCATTCTAATCTCCGAGAACTTCCAACCTCACTTTGCTCTGAATCATCGAATCAATCCTATTCGAATAGCTAAAACTCAACACTTCCTTTCGATCTCAAACATCGAATCGATCTCAATCGTAGAATCACTCTCAATCATCAAATCGCTCTGGATCGTTTGAATCTCTCTTAATCATTCAAATCGCTCAATCATCAGTCACTCTCAATCATTGAATTGCTTCTCAGTCGTTCAAAAGGTATTTATTTGTTTACGATTTGATTTCAGTTACGTTAATTGAATTTTTTGATATATTTTCCTTTTCAATTTTTATTATTAATCAAAATATTTGTTTTCATTTGTAGATTATCCTTGTTTATTTTGTGTGTTCATGATCTTGTCACTTTTTCTGACATGTGATTTTGATTTTAGTTCAACTAGGCTATAATTCAACATATTAAATTATATTTTGAAGAAAATGTTATCAAATTTGATTTTGTAATTTATCGTTTTAGCTTCAAATGTGATTTTATTTTTGGATTTAATTAGCACTGTTAGTTGTCTTGGGATAGTTAAGAACAGGGGAGCTAACAATATCAACAAAGGTTGATTTGCACCTTATCAATGGACAAGCACGGATGGATTAAGTTAGCATTGTTAGATGTCATGGGATAGATAAGAGAAGTAAGATATTGAAGCCTTTGTATATCGTTGGATACCATGCCATTGAGATTCTTGTGAGAGAGATCGAGATTCTCCACGGTTCCAGCCGAGTTGCATTTGATTCTGGTCCAGTTACAATGAGGTGAATCCAACTTCCAATCCTGAAGAGTGTTTAAAGGATCAAGAAGACCAGATTTTATCGAAAGCAAAGCCAATACTTCATTATTCCAAGTAGCAGAAAAACTGTAAGAGAAACAAAAAAAGATAATGTAACAGATGAAAATTAAAAACTGTGTTTTCATCTGCATTTTGTTTAAGGTTCAGTTCTCCATAATTTACATTGAATGAAAAACAAAAACTATGTGATTGACTATATTATGTGACAGATAAATAAACTATATGATAAATTTGAGTCAAATTTAATAGGTAGCTAGAGAGGTTTATGAAGTAATAGATCAAAGACATGTGAAAATTTGGAGTTATTTGTAGTTTATCCAACATAAACATGGGAGAGAATATGGATTACTTTTAATCTTGTTGGTTTAGTTTCTAATTTTCTGTTTTGAGAGTGATTAAAAATTTTATCTTTTATTTGTTTATGTTCATTTCCATTTTACGGTAACTACATTCTTGATAAAATGATTGTAAGGAGTTAGAGAATATAAAATTTTCTTAAATTCAGTGATCTATAGTTGATACAATATATAAAAAGTTGCAAGAAAAGTATAGTTACCATACAGTTAGAGTACTATGTTGTTATGGGAACTTTATAACCTCATTTGAACTTTATTACGATCCTGTTTTCAGACAAGAAACATAGTTTAAAGCATCTTTTATATTATATTTAATTTTTTTTTATTCATCCACTTTTAAGTATATTTTATTAGTCTATTAGCATATGAGTGTAAAAGTAGAATTTTAAATTCCATCTGAATCTATTCTAGTGACACAAAAGTTACATCTGATTATTGGTTGAAATTTTGGTGGATCAAATCAAGTCCTGAAGTCATAAGTAATAAATTATAGTTTCAAGTTGGAATTCATTATAGATGTGAAATCAATTTCATTCGACATCATTCAAACATGTTAAAATCAATTTTATGTGTATGGAATCAATTTTATGCGTATGGAATAATTCAAACATGTTCTTGGGTCTCCTGTAACCGAAAGAATAGCTCGTGTTTTTGCTCTTATGAATAGAGTGTAATGACGTCTTTTCATTTTTATCGGTCTCTTTTACCCTTATCCATTTGTCCTATTTTGGATCTAGTCTTGATTGAAAAAAAGCATTCTAGTAGTTTGTGTAGAAATTCAGCTGCATAGTGTGATGTAATTGCAAAAGTCACTGCTGATGTAGTATTACAATGGTAGCTATTTAACAGTACTCGTGGACAGTTGCAGTGTTGCGTGGCTGTAGAACTCAGAGCAACTTCAATGTTGTATATAATTCAAAATCGTGATAAGACTAATACCGCTTTCTTACTTTAATTTACAAAATCTTTTTTTGGTATTGCAATTTGCATATCTTCCTTGCATCTGCCCTGATGAATATCTAATATGATCTGTGAATGACAATCTTTCCATTTCTTGCCATTCATAAATTGTATGATTCAAAATCTTCTGGATATGTAACAACCATCATTTAATTTTCAGTTGAGCTTATCAAAAGGATTGCTTCTCTACTACATAACAAGTTCGAGCTTATCAAAAGGATTGCTTCTCTACTACATAACAAGTTCTCGACTGTAGATATACACTGTTTTGGACTGAACCGGGACCTGCTTCTCAGCCGGATAGGCACAACCCAATGCTATGCTGATGAGATCTAACAAGACCCAATCCTCCTCCGTCGGGGATAAGCCTCAACCAGACACATGCGTCAGGCAGAAGATCTTCTTGACGGAGAAGCTCATGCACTTCCCCCACGTCCTCCACGTGTCCCCCACGCGGGGACATGTCATCAGGCAACTACCCACCTCCGAAAGAGTCGGTCAATCCACCTTTCGAAGATCACAGGGCAGTTGATCTAGGGCGAAGACCACGTGCTGGTCTTCACTACGCCACATAAGCCTTGGCAGTTACTTAGGTTGGACTTGACAGCCTGACTCAATACAATGTAATCGTTGGCCCTGCGCTGGGGGCACACTATAAATACCACCTTTCACTAGACACCGTCGCCCAGCTTCTATCAACCTTTCTCCTCCCTCACGGAGGACACGAAACATAGAAGAGCGACAAGCCACCTCCCCGAGAAGAGCGACACTCCTTGGTTCAGAAGAAGACCAAAGTCGTTGCAGCCTCCTCCAGACCCAGGGACCGACCGAGGAGTCCACGCCGGCACAGAAACCACATAGAGTCAGCCTCCCCCTCGCCGTCACCTGTCCGGAACGACGAAAATACCTGGCGCTCACCACCGTGCATGGCCATCAGGGAGGCGCCATTGCCCATCGGGATGGAAAAACCCCGATCCTGGAAACCTGTGATGGAACGACCGACCCGGACGACCACATCGAAAGCATAGACACGATGTTGAATTACAGAAACGTTCGGGGAGCCATCAAGTGCAGACTGTTCCCCACCACCTTGAGAAAGTGGGCCATGGTGTGGTACAAACGCCTTGCTTCCGACTTCATCGCCTCATGGGAAAAACTGAAGCGTCAGTTTTCCAGGAATTTCACAACTTCTCGACGCCAACCGAAGATAGAGGTGGCCCTAGAGATCATTATCCAGGGGAAGAGCGAGCCTCTCAAAGATTACATTGAGAGGTTCAATCGCGAGGCTGTCTAAGTGTCCACGACAGACAACATGAAGAAATTCCTGATCCATAGGGGCATAACTCCACACCCTGACTTTGCCAAAGCCGTTGGCCTCGCGCGTCCCCGCACCTTGAACGCCCTTCTCCATATGGCCCAGTCACACATCGAGTATGAGGAGATAGAGGCCGCAAACACCGCCCGGGCCAGGCGTAACCAAGAAGCCCCCAAAGGCACAAGGTGTGAAGAAACCCCTCTTGCTCCTCCTTGACGAAACAAACAGAGAAGGCGCCAAGGTCATCCCTGCGAGTAGAGAGGACCAGTAGGTCGGTTCATTGAGTACACGCTACTTACAGCTCCCCGCAAGCGCATCCTGGCCGAATGTATCAATTCGGAGCTTCAGAGGGGTGGTGTCTGATTCCCGAAACCGACAACCTCGAAGCCCAACGCAAACAAGTCCAAATACTACATTCACCTCAAAGATGAAATCGAGATTTTAATCAAAGAGGGGCATCTGAAACAATACACCAGGAGAAAAGAAGCCCTCTGACCTAAGACCCGCGAGGCGAAGAAGCATTAATCCCCTCCGACGAAGCGGGACTGCAGGTGGCCCTATGCATCTCCCGACCAGAGGATTTCTTCTTCAACGAGCCCGCCAGATCGCTGACCGCCCTCAGCCCGTGGGAGGACTTCCCAGGCACAATGGTGATATCGGGGGGGGGGGGGGGGGTAGCCATTTGTCAATCGGGTCGGTGAAGAGGAAATTCGAGAAGCTCATCGACAAGAGTTCGAAGACGAACGCTACCTTCGACAGGTTCAATGCGCAATCGAACCCGGTCACCTTCTACCTCGAGGAGCTTCCCGGGGGGCACCCAACGCCAGAATTCCCCTCCTGATCAGAGCATAGATGGAAAACTTCGATGTCCGCCGAATCTTGGTCGACCAAGGAAGTTCGGTGGACATCATGTACGCCCATCTATTCAGCACCATGCAGCTGGACGAGAGCCACTTGACCCCGTACGTGGGCTCCGACCTCCTTGACTTCTACAAAAAAACCACCAAGCCATGGGGGTATGTGGAGCTGCTCCTCACCTTCGGGGCCGAGGAGACGACCAAACAAGTGAAAGTACGCTTTTTGGTGATTGAGTGTCCCTCATTGTACCAGTGCATCCTGGGACGGCCAACCTTAGCCGAACTGACCACAGTATCGTCGACAATCCACTTGAAGACGAAGTACTACACGACCAGAGGGCGGGTCATCACCCTCCAAGGAGACATTGAAGCAGTCAGAAGATGCTTCGAGGCGGAACTCAAAGGACTCAGCTCCATCAACGTCGCCCCCAAGCCGGCCAACCGACCAACCTGAACTGAGGAACCAAAGCCCATCCTGCACGTCAACTCTGTCGACCTCGACAACCGTTTCTCCGGCAAACAGGGACAAGGCAAAGACCCCGAGGATACGCCTCCAACAGGCAGCTCCCCCATCCAACATGCACCATCCCGGACGGAGACTTCGAGCTTGTCATGCTAGGAGATAACCCCGAAAGAGGCGTGAAGATTGGCACGGGCCTGCCCGACCTAGCAAGGAAACAGCTCAAGGCCTACCTCTGGAAGAATGCGAACCTCTTTGCGTGGAGCACTGCCGAGATTCCTGGGCTCCAACCCGACGTGGCGTTCCACCACCTCTCCATAGATCCAACCGCTAGGGTCATAATTCAACGTAGGCGTAGGCAGTCTCCTGAGAAAGGGAGGCTGCTGAAAGAGCTGTAAAAGACCTCCTAGAGGCGAATTTTATTTCGGAAGCCCGATACACAACCTGGCTGTCCAACGTTGTACTTGTTAAGAAAACTAATGGAAAATGGAGAATATGCATTGACTATACTGATCTCAACCGGGCATGTCCCAAAGATGCTTACCCTTTTCCTAACATCGACAAACTCATTGACAATTCTACAGGTTTCAAACTTTTGTCGTTCATGGACGCATACTCGGGATACAATCAAATCTCCATGGCGAAGTCCGACAAGCAGCATACGACCTTCATGACCGAGTCAGGCAACTACTACTACAACGTAATGCCTTTCAGCCTGAAGAACGCCGGGGCGACCTATCAAAGGATGATGAACAGAGTCTTCCGAGGAGAAATCAACGACATGCTCAAAGTCTACATGGACGACATGATCGTGAAGTCGCGAGACGAGGTCGACCATACCGCTTATCTCACGTAAGGTTTTAAAAACGGCAAGGAAGTGCAGCATGAGGTTCAACCCCAACAAGTGCACCTTCGACGTGCGTGCATGCAAGTTCCTCGGTTTCTACCTAACATAACGAGGAATAGAAGCTAACCTTTACAAGTGCAGGGCCTTCTCTGAGTTCGCCACGCCGAACACAAAGAAGTCCATTCAGTCACTAAACAGGATGCTCCGTTCTTGTCACGATTGGTCGCCAAATCCGCACATCACACCCTCCCTTTTTTTAAACTATTACGCTAGGAAGCTGCGTTTGAATGAACCGAGGAGTGCGAGCAGGCTCTCCGCCACCTCAAACAGGTCCTC